TTTATTTATTAAAATTATAACTACAATCCGAAAAAATAGGGGAAGCCTGGCTTCCCTTGGCCTCCAGGAGAAAACGCCACTGGTGTTCACTGACCTGTGCTGGGTGTTGATGCGCAGGACGCCGGTGACCCTCGGAAGAGGACGGGGCACATCCAGCTGGTCACCGGACCAGGAAACATGGCAGTTGCAGAAATATTTCAAATAGTTGTATATGCCAGTAGCCACGGCCACTCCGCTGCTGCCTGTAGCGTATATCTTATTGTTCCTGGTGGACCTGAGCTCACACACATCCAGGCTGTCGTTGGAAAGGCTCCGGTTGACTGACACTATGAACTCCGTGGACCTGTTCCCCAGCAGCCGCTTCAGCAGCTCCACCACCGCTCTGCCCTGGCTTTTTTCACTGGCTTTCGGTTTTAAGTGGTCTAGAGTTGGGAACTTACAAAAGGCAGTTACAAAAAGACAAAACACGACAACCAGCGCCAGACTGTATCCGCTTCTGTGTGACATTTTGAACCCCTGACCAATGAATCCAGTTTCCCACCGAAGCACAGGTTTAAAAACAACTTTATTTCTTCATTTGCATATAACCAGGAAGCTTTGGGTGACTGAAAAGCTGCAGGCCAATCAAAGAGAGAGCGCTTGCCGTGTATAATTTACAGCCAATCAGAGGATGCGGTTCGCATTGCAAACCACTCCTATGAGAAACCACTGTTTGTCATGTGATCATTCTGTCATATGATGGGAATATTACAAAAGTGGCCTAATTTCAGGAGCAAGCTTGATGTAATATGATCATGTCATAAAAGCACAATGTAAAACCTTGTTAAAATGGTTCTCATGTTTGCTTGTAAACTTTAAGGGTTACTAGCATTTAGTAGGCTACTTTGGTACAAATTAGAATCAGGCACTTCTGATTACTGCTGACATAGCCATCAGTCAGACATGTCATGATGTCTTAATCAATAGTGCACATGCATACACTTTCTGCACAATAAGCACAGTGATGCCTCTAAACAGCAGAAGATTACAGAATGAAAACAGTAAACTGTGTGCAATGGCTACTGATCAAACAACCAAATCAAAATCTTTATGAGGTCAAACACCTGTATTTATTTACATGGTGATGTTAATGGTTAACCTATTATGGAAAGCAATAACCTACCTCCAATACTGAAGTACAGTTTTAATGTACTTCTCGTTTTTTTAAGTTACTAGCTCCAACCTTCAGATAATAATTCAGAATACTTGCCAAGTGGCTAAATGTGTTATGTAGCAAAAACAAGTATCTCATCAATACAGTACCTGGTTCAACAAACCACAGTGGGATATCATTCATTATAAAAAAAACTTTTATTTTCAAATCCCCAATCGCTACATTTAACTTCCAGCAGAAAGTGGCACAATAAGGATGAAAATACAAAGTACCCAAACAGGCCACTGGCTGCACATAAGCAAGCAAAGACACCAGGCTAGAAAAGTAAATTACACTGAGGACAAACATAAATTAAATTGATTTAAAGACAAGCAGGAGAAGAACTGATGAGCACAAACACATGAAATAACGGCTGGTGTGAACATCACAGTGCTTGTTTGCTTTTGCCGAGTTTGAACACCATCAAAGTTTGTGTTTTATTTACCTATCAAGCAAAAAGCATAAGAAGCAGAAAGGTATACACTCAAGTCATCAGGTTTTATTTGGTTGATTTGGACTAATCTAAACTTATTTCACAGTGAGTTTTCTTGAGGTTTATGGTGTTTACTTCCATTCTGGGTGAGTTTTGTTTCTCAAGGTGATTAGACATTCCTTAGTTAAGGCTGCTAGTAGTGCAGAGTCAAGACAATGGCTTTAAAATGTCCTGTATGGACCGTGCTGTCCCTTCACAATCCACAAGGCACAGACAAATCTACAGAGCCTCTGTACGTCAAAACTAAGACTACTGAAGTGAGAATTTAGAAAAAGCTTATTATGCAGAGCATGAATTCTTCCACCATGAGGGCGCAGACCTGCCCAATGATTGGAATCTGGCACTTTCAGAAGCTGTGAGGATAAATGATCGACAAACACTTCTGACTGAAATAACTATTACATAGTATGAGGTATGAACATTCTCCCAAAGGAATCCACTGACAGATGACAAAGCTGTAAGACAGCACACACCTCAAAGTAACATTTGACAACATATATTCATACACGGAATATGTTTAGGATTCTCTATGTCATAAACATTCACTGAAACTGTCACATTGAGACTTCTCAAATCAATATAACATGTTGTAGTTTGTCATTTTAGTTTGAGCCAGTTTAATGTATCCACTAACTGATTCCAATATTTTATTAATTCATGTATTGTTGAACATTTACAGTTATTTTAGTCAAGTTTAGGCTCAGGTTAAATGACAAGCTTACTTAACACAAACGTTAAGCTGAGTGCATTAGATGAGCAAAACCACACAAAGGTCACTTCAATTGAATCTGTTACACCATGATTGATAATAAATGATGTACAGTGATTGATAATAAATGATGTAAACAGTGCTCCTGGCTTCCAAAACAAGACGCATTTCATATGTACATGGCTCTGACCAACTATTCAAGAGGGATATCCACGGTTTCTAGGGCAGAAAACTGAGCTATATGAAAGAGATCATTAAGTAGAAAAGATACTGGTGCCGAAATCCAAGAGCACTGACTGTAACATTGAAACTGTCCACATGGAAAGATAATCCATTTTCTGCTCATTAATGTAAATGTTGACTAAAAAACAACCAGAAGATGCAAATAACAATCATAATAGGTGGGGAAATAATTATCCAAGAACAATCACGGCAGTTCGATATCCTGCATTCTGTGGTAACTTCAGGTGCTAAAAGAAATGAGACCCAGCATGATAGGCCATTATACAAATCCTCTTTGATTGTTTTACACAAATACCCCATGACCTGCACTTTATCACATATCAATGATACATTATATAAACTCAGTTTTCTGAAAAAATACTCTGCTATGATTGGCTAATTAATTATGTGCAGCACAAATGTGAGGGCATGTGTAATACTGTAGCATTATATTTTTCTGACACATTATTAATCTACATAGGGTTAAAAAAACACATGACGTTACTTTAACACTACCATACATCCAGCCATTTTAAGTAAGAGGTGGTAATGTTGCAATGAATGCAACTTGACTGAGAACCGCTCCAAATATTTTCCCCAACTAGTAAACATCTGTTTTTTGAGGACAGTATTCAGTTTTCTGTGGCTCCACAGGAGCTTGGTCGAGTCAGAGAAAATAACCCACGTGACTTTATGTTGATTTTAGAGATCACATTTATAAATGACTAGAGGTGTGGGGTTGTGAAAAGACGGGGAGGGAGAGGCCATAGTTGCATTTCACCACTTTAAAAACAATTATCCATCTCTCTCTCAAACAGGTTATTAAAGGAAAATAATAAAAACATAAAAACTATGAATCAGTACTTTGGGTAAACAAATGGCAGTTAAGAGTTTAGAAAGACTCTAACTGGTGATTGTTGGGGATTCCTTTCCATATCTCCAGATCTCAAATGTAAATGTTGTATAAACATTCACCAAGGCAACGAGCATTAACTCGACTATAACAGATTCAGGCACAGTAAAATGTAGCTAATTTGACGTTGGTAAATTGAATTCTAATTTAGTAAACCCCAACTATATTCTCATGGATATTGTCTTTATGTAAAACATTGTAATCAATAAATATCCCTCTAAATGATCGTGTTATATCACCCATTGTGTTTAAAACTCCATCTGACAAAAGTAAAAAAATATGACTTATGAGTTAAGTCTTTAAATCAACAAGCACTTTATAAGAAATGATGGCATCTATGACTGATACAACATTTTTGCTTTAAGGTATAGTACAGGAAATTCATAAAATGGCTGTGATATAAAATATTATACAAAAAGCACCAAAATGTAGTTTGAAACCAGACTGTCCAACCTTAGACCTCATTAATCAAATCTTTCTCCAAAGGAACTCATAAGTAATGAACTCCCCCTTGTTTAGTTCAAAACGTGTGTGACCGGTAGCTAATGTACGCTAATGTTAGCTTAGATCAATATTGCTGTGTAGTAGCTCACAATACCAAATGTGTTGGCTGATCCTTCTACACCTGTACTATTGCAACACCATGTTTTAGCATGTTACAAAGACATATTGGTGGTTTTACTACAAAAGTATATGTCAGATTTAAACTCATCAACTGCTGTGTCACTTAGCATCTGCCTAGCTTAGCTGTGGTTTACAACAGGTTCAGCCAAATTGCTGTGAAAAATGGTGGGGACGGTTTTAGATGGGATTTTACAGATTAACTGTTAATTTATTCCTCCTACTGCTGAGAAAACTTTTCAGAACTGAAACAGTATACAATTGATTGTCACAAAACGATGCATCAGTGTGCACTGTTAATATAAGTAGTTTTTCACATTCAGCGTAATTCGTCGATATAAAAATGTGTGTATATTTGAAACCTAACTTTTTGTTCCATCTATTTCCTTATAAAATATGTATTTTAACATATTGACACTTGGATTGTTTTATAATCATGTTTACTTGCTAACATGCTAGCACTAATGCTTGTTGTTTCTTGCCTTAGCTGGCACATAAGTGCTTTTTCTGGTTCAGTTTAATAGCGTGCAACATTGACAGATTCAGCATGTCGTCTTTGCGTTACTGGCACGCTCATGCTATGCAAGACAACAAACAAAACGGGGACCCAGTTATTGAATCATTAGTGCTAGGTGGTCAACAAGGTTTGAATTCATCCTAAGGATCAGTGAGCTCCAGAGGCGATGGGTCAAGCTATCGGCAGAAACTGCTTTGTCTGCAATTTTCCTAGTGGTAAAATAAGGAATTACACTTTCTGGATCTGTCATTTGATGCACTTCGGCCTTAAAATACTTTTCACTGTAGACTTACAGTGAAAAATCAGATAACTGTAAATCAGGGGATCATTCTTTTCTGAAGGGAAATAGACTTCCCACCAAAAAATGTATACAGCCCTTATTTCAAAATATGTCCTATTAGTCGTACAAAGGGACCCATGGATGCAGAAGATTCAATTGATTTTGCATTCATACCAATTTGGCTGTATGCGCCACTGATCAACTTTCATATTAATAACAGGGGCCCTGCCTCTAACTCTGCAGCCAGTCCCTTTATACATCAGCATCAGGGTTTAAACTTAAACCACCTTATTTAGTTCCTGAAAACACATGTGTCTTAAAAAATGTCTCAATGTCCAAGCCACAACTAAGCCAATGACGTAGCAACCTAACTAGGAAACACATTGGTTGTTTCCTGCTTGTTGTTCTATTCATCTCACTCTGCTCCCTGTATGAGCCCCTCTTTAAAATAACAGACTTAAAATAATCTTGGAAAACTTACATTTTCCATCATCCTGTAAATACTTTTGGTCACAGAGGCTGAGATCCAGCAAAAGTGACCTATTTAATTTATTCTGGATTGACTGAATACTGATAAGAATTAGCGACACATAATCCCAGTAATGGAGAAGATGTAGAATGTTTCAGCATTTTGTCACCAATGTTAAATGTGTAGATGAAGCAAACCTTCAGAATGAAAAAAAAGCTGGTATGACTGCTGTACATTTCTAAGCAGACTTCTCCTTTTGCCAGCTAAAAGCTAAACAGGCACATATGAATGCAAAGCTTACGTAAAAACTGACTGTATTTCATGTTGAATAAATCCAGACCGGAACAACACATCAACCCTGAGAAACTACGGTAAGTGGGAGAGGACATTAAGACCATCAAATGTCTGTAACATTGATTTCTGATAGTAGGTTTTCTTTCTCAACAGAGACACTTAAGCAAGTGGACGGATATATGACAAGACCTTCTTTTCACACTAAACCCCTGTGGGGAGCTGAAACTGAAATACATTGTGATGTGGATCTGCCAGAGCAGCCGATGAACACAGGAGACGTTTCTCTGTGGCTGCAGTTGCGGGTGTTTCTGTAAGATAAGATGGAGAAGACCTGAAGGTCTGCGCAGGTTCAGGACTGCTGACTGCTCCACTGGTTGGCCATTGGCCTGCGGAGCAGCTCCTCCACATGGCGCGCCACGTCCATCGTGTCCTCCAGGTCGAAGTCTCCCTCTGCATCCAACATGGTGTCACTCCTGACAGGACGACAGTAGAGACGCAGGCCACATTGTCATGAAGGAGGTTCATTTGACAATTATTGGGTTTTTTTCTGTTGGGATTTTCTACAGTGTAATTGTGAATTATCAGGTAGAACATATCGTAAGTAATTAATCAAAGAAACACTTAAAACGAAACCCAGACAACGCAACAGTCAAATATATCTCTGTATCTTTAGAAAACTGGTATATATATATATATATACATATATACATATATATATACATATATATATATATACATATATACATATATATATATATACATATATACACATATATATATATATACATATACATATATATATATATACATATATACATATATATATATATACATATATACA